GATAGGAAAAGGGTTCGTAGAATAGTGTCCGATAACTTCCGAGAAAAATTACAAATCTATCGAGACATCGCATTCATTGGCTTCCTAGCCACCAACGAGATTATTGCTCGATCTCTGCAGATCGACTGTGCGCGTTGCAAACGGTTTCGTAGTTGTGCAATTCGATTGCGCTCTGATCGACTGGGTTCCTGTCACACACTCCCAGGGCCGGGGCTTGAAGCTGGCCTTTGAAACTAATAAATGTAAGGGGTACCACTGAACCACGAAAGTAAGACAGGGCTTTATTTTTCAAAGTGTTAGCCGAGCTAACGCGGTTAACATGAATGCTCCGTCCCTGATAACAACCCAGACCGGGAGGATTCCGTGACGTTCGAGAAACAATGTTCTTTCCTGTAGTAATAATCCACTTTAATAAAAATGTACGTCGCATCCAGTTATGAATAGAATAGTACAAAGATCTCTTTTTTCCGTAAAAAAGTCTGTCAAGTTAAAGCTATTATACTCGTTCAACTTCTTAATGTTTTCCAAGAAGTCAGCAGTGGAAATTTCTGGAAATCACCGCATCTATTATTATTATTATACGCACTTGTTTAATTACAGCCTTTTTTTTTTAGACTCGATGATTACGAGGAATGTTTCTCCCAGCAGTCTGTCATTAATCATAATTTAAATCGTAGTAATGCGATTGTACATTACAAGCCGTCCCTTACAGGCTGTTTCATGGAATGTTTCAGCATAAGGAGTGGGTTTCGTAATCACCTCGCCCATTACATAAACCTACATATTTCCTCATTACCAGTAACCACTTAAAGCCCAGTGGTATCTATTTATACCACCTCTTTAACAATCAATAATTCTTCATTTTCCCTAGAATAAATAGCGATCATTTCGTCATTAACCAATTGCTTTTTATAATGGAAACGTGATGTTTTCTTTTAAGTAGGAACTATTTTTTTTAATATAATTTACATCATTTGCGTTTATCAATATATAAATATAAACAAACTAAATGCGTTTATCAATATATAAATATAAAACAAAGTACAATTGATCTAGAAGAGGATAACTTTCCGATATTTAATGGACATCTGACGAAGGATTGCATTTAGAATATTACATTTAAATTTATATCAATTATACACCTGAAGATGGTTCATTGAAAACCGAAACATGTCGTGAAAATGATGATGCTCTAATTGTAAATCGAACATTTCGATAAAAAGAGCATCATTTTAATATATTTTAAATATTAAATGTTAATTATAGTAATGATATTTTAATATTTAATAAAATATTTTATTGTGATTAGACGGTTAAAATAAACAATCATTTACACGAGCTTTGGCTCCAAAGGGTTAAAAGCTCTTTATTCTGTAGGTCTAAATAAATTACGTTCATATCCATCGGAGTTCAACAGAAGACAGAATGGTTTCATTTCTATAATTTTACATTCCAGCTGTTTTTCTGGTAATTGTGCACTGTATTGGACACAAACCAGTCGTTACGTATTAATGGATTGAGGGAGTAGCACCTGTGGAGACGACAATAAATCTTCTTGACTATCTGAGCTACTATCAGCTTCTCACAAATGCATAATGGATTTGATATTTAGTCTACTATCTGTCAATAAATGTAATTTTTACAAAGTTCGAAGTCAGACGGGGGTCGACAGTTTAATTCTGACCTCACAAATTCTAGTCGTCTTTGTCCCAATTCGTAATAACCAGTTCAAAAAGTTTACCCCCCCCCCTCATTGTATTGGTTGACTTGTTTCTGACACCATCAAAGAACCCATATAATTTTTTTTCTGAATTTTAAAGTTATTAACATACATTGAATTTTATGAAAAATCAGGTTATCAAAGCGGTGAAGTTTCAGAGGTGATAATCATCATCGCAAGCACCTCAAAAACGTCGGTAAACTTCTACCAGAATACACAAACTAAAATACAACAAATTCAAACGGTTTATGCAAAATAATTCAGATTTACTTCTACGATCAATGACACTGCATTCTCTATTTCTTGGTTTAAAACGATTCTAAGTGTACACAGGAATCAATTTCTTAAACGTTATTAATCAACTGATCTTTGTGATAGTGAATTGTTTTGTTTTCTTTGTAACGAGGACTGAATTCTTAAATATTATCTAGACATGTTTCGACTTGAAATGGCTAAGAATTTTTGGTCAAAACTTTCTCAGATCTGATAAGAAATATACTTAAAATCAGTAAAAAATGTTGTCTCATTTTTATAATTACTTTAAGTTCTAATATGGTGTACGTCTACAGGTAATTTAGATTCAAGTACATCGCCTAAAATTCACTACAATACTTCCGGCATATTACAAAGAGGCTTGTGTTTTTGAGGGAATGTTACTTCATATCATGCAGTTCTCACTTACCAGAATGTTTCGTGACGACTTCTGTTGTGGCTGCGAAGGCTTCTGAGACGCCGAGTGACCCCGACAAATTGCTTTCGCTACAGAAAGAAGATAATGGAAGTGTTTCCCTCCCTCGTAGCTCCAAGCAAGGAGGGGGCTGGTCAGATAGTGCACTGAAGAGTTCTGGGAAAAAGGAATTAATTGGACCACCAGCTTGGTGCTGTATCCCCCCAAGAGGAAGTTGGCTTCATTTTTCCCCCCTTCCCCATGTCGTCTTATTCATTGTTGGGAGCAGACAATAGTTTGTGTCTACCCGCCCTGGTTCGAATCTAACTTAACCAAGTCTGTGCTCTCTGTATGTGATCAAGATTGAAGTACAGGCCTACGACATCAATAGGAGGTCTTGAAAAACGCAGTTCCCGGTTCCTAGTACGCACTATAGTAGCTACATACACGTACACTTCGACAAGGTTTTTTGCACACACCGTAAGCTTGGTGAAAATGGCGAATTTTTAATGATTTTTTCAGCACCACGAAGTATAAATTGGAATGGTTCAATCTGTTAAAAATTTGTTTAAAATTATTCCTTGTCAGGACTTTTTCCATCGTCTATTCTTTAAAACCAACGACGTTTCGGAGGCTGGTTCTCTATCCGTCTTCAGGTGAGAGGTGTCTACTATGTCCTGACAATGAATAATTTTAAGTGTAATCTACCGTCGTCAAAACCCTTTAGAATTGAATTTTATAATTGTATTCACAACACGCCAATTTTTCGTCTCAACACTCACATGAAATTCAGTCCACAGCCTTACATTCTGTTTCTGTAATATCCGTTTTAATATTTTCATCATATCTCCTTCGAATTGCCTCACGTAGTCTCGTCCACTCGGGTTTTTTTGAATGATATTTTGTATGCATTTCTCAGCCCTCCCATGTGGGATACATTTTTCCACCTATCACATTCACCTTCTTTATATGACTAACCTAATAATATTTTGCGAAGAGAAGACGAACATTAACTTCAACACCGCAGCGAGAACCTCGAATGTCTTATTTTGTTTCCTCTTGGTCCAAATATTTCTCACAGCACTTTCTTTAGGAATAAACTTCTGTTGTTTTCTCAGAAATATCAATTAAGCCAATTGTCCATACTTTTCCGTCCTCCCTCGCCCTTCCATCTCACAATATTCGATCATAATTCTGTCTTTAAGGGGATAGATAGATCGCTATACTTCCATTATCGAACAAAAATGCATATAACCCAAAGGCACCTGAATAGATAACCAATGTAGCAATATTTTGTGTAAGTCAACTTTCACATATTTTCAAGTACATAAATGGTTTGTTTTTACATATGTAATTAAAAATGTTATATCTCCCAGTAATCGATCATTAAAAGTCGACTACAGTCCACGACTGTAATCTTGAGACTTGCGGGGTGAGGAGGTGGGGGCGAAGGAGGAAATATAGCGTCTGCCTTTAACTCTACGTACTTCCTGCATTCCTTTCAAGTCTCAAGATTACAGTCGTCAACTATAAAAAGTGTTGTTTATTAGCGACTAACAAAATATTAAACAAACTATATTTATATATAAAAACTGAACTTTCGTCGAAAGTAGCTTTACCCAGCCCACAAGTTCTTTGTGATATTTTCCCCTCGTACCATCACATCTAATGCCTTAGATTAGGCCACGACCACTTCCTTCCATATCCTTTCCAATTTATTATTCATTAATCAACCTGTCATTCTATGCTATATAGTCTGAGGTCAGCGTCGTTAACCACAAAATACCTTATATCCTTGGACCAATAATTGAGTGCGTGTGTGTGCGTATTTTTGCATAAGTGTACCGACTTCCTTAGTCCATACAGGATAAGGATAATGACAAAAATACCCTTTTGCTTCAAATTTTACTATTCTCTACAAACCCAGCATCGGCCTTCTGAATGTACCGCAGAAATGTGGGATACAAATGTGTAGAAACAAAGCATTCATGTACTTACAAAATGTAACACTATATATGAGTAAATGTACAGTAGTTACGTAGTCAGGATTATCTTAGTGTTGTGTTCTTAAAATCGTGTTTGATAAATTTAGTTCAACAGTTGGTAGTGAAAATATGCATGAAAATTTACCTCTTACAGAGAGACTACTGCTTGTGACGTTAGGTTTTCACGGCAGTGAGTTTGTCGATTTTTTTTTTTCAAAGATCAGTATTCTGAATTAAAATTATGTAATGTAGTATAACAAAAATTGTTAAATTTTTATTATTTAAAGAATATAATACGATTTCATGTTCCTGCAATCTCAAAAATAATCTTAGATCGAGGTTATAATAACTGTGTCGCGCTACATGTACACAACACGCCTTCCTTGTCAGCATTACCATAGTAATGGTTAAAAATCCCATAAAGCCCAAAATCCCACAACAGCTGATGATTGCCAACACAATCATTAATATTATCAATGGGGCCCAAATCCCTTAACAACAGAAAATGATGACCAATCAACCAGCATTGCTTATTATATAGATAGATATAAGTTTCTAGGTTTATTGCACATTAAATCATCATCATCATCTCCATGGTTTAGCCAGTGATTGCAAAATGGCATAGCTATGAAAAAGGTGAAACTATATCAGAAAGACTGTTCCGTCTTCAAGGGATTTTCTGTTCAAGGAGCCCAGTCACTGGGGGCTTTAAATTACTGGTGTACCCTACCTCCAGGGGATAGTAGTGGGCTTGACTGGTAACCCAAAAGATGCCAGTCTTACTCTACATCACGTTGGTAGCGTGTTCAGAGGACATTATTAATACTCGCAACCTCCAAAGAAACATTAAATCTTAATGCGTTAAAATAACCTTTACGTGCGGTATTCTAAATGTATAGTCGCAACGTATCGTGCTGTACTGTTACGCATAGGTGTGAATTAATGTTGGCAGTCCTGTACACAACTATACTATAGCAGACGATCGTTTTTCACATGGGCCGATTTTGACATGTTTAACATAAAGAGCATAGTTAATAAAATCACAGAAAGGGTGAGGATTTGTGTTCTTGCACTTTTTTGTTATATTTACTGCTACGTAAATTTTTCATGTCTTAAGTTAACTTGGTTGTCAGGCTAAAGATGTGTTGTTTTCTGTTAGGGAAGAGATTCCCAACCGAACTCACCAGGACGAGGAAATGGGGAAGATATATTGGGTAAACAAGCAGCAGAGGGATTCCTATGTCCGAGATGCATGAAGGCATTTCCATGCCCAGAAGATCTTCAGTCTCATTATGTGACATCTCATGATGGTGGTGGGTGAAGTTACATAGAATATGTGGGAATGCCTCAGTTGCATGAGTTGAGGTTAATATTTTCTGTTGATTTTATTAATTTCCTTTGTGTGTATTGAATGGTGAGGCTCTAGAGTCTCATTGAAACATTTTACATATCCACCACAGATTTCTGTGCATGCTGCTACTTTGCCATTGCTCTTTCAACTAGTCTTGTCAGAATTATTCAGCAAAATAAGTGAAATTCAGCCTGTGATGATGCTATTTTCAAATGTTGTAAGCTACTGGAATAATTATAATTATGGTATGATGAGATGAAGTTAGAGGTATATTTATTTGAAATGTTACAAGGCATGGGTGACAAGTTTGATTTGTTTAGATGTTTTAGGTCAGAAAGAGAAAGATGTTTTTTTTTTGCTTTTAATTTTGGACAGATGGCGACGGAGCCATACGAGATGTCCCTGCTGTGACTACTGCTCTGGATTTTATGTCTCTACATCAGGAAGTGGGTGAAAGGTACAGACGCCAGGTATGAGAAACATGAACATATAGTCTAAATCATATTAAGCCGTTGTTACATAAATGCTTTGTATTTTGTCAGGTCAATTTGTAGCATTTAAAATCAGTATTTAATAACAGAATTTATTATGATGAAGGAATAATCTTTTACTGTAAGTGTCTATTCTGACTTTAAATTGCATTTTACTTGGATAAAATTTAATGGAATAATTTTCAAGGAATTATCTTAGATGTTGTTATATCAAATATTTGTTTGTGATATTTCAGGTTCTCATGGTGATGAATATGAAGAGGGTGTCTTCTGGGTTGTTGTGCCACGTAGTTGTAGTTCTGAAATATCAGTCAACTTCTACCAAGCTGCATGGCGCAACAAACCAGGAGATCGCTATATTCAAGTATTTCTTTGTTAGTTTGTAAGATAAAGAAATTGTGTTTATGTAACACCATGAAACATCAACTCTATGCTACAATCTCTAGAATAATTTGCAATTTTTCTGTCATTTTAGGAAGGAAACTCCACACAGGCTACTTCAGTTCTAGATGTACAAGGTATATGCATATTTAGTATTTTCTTCTTGTTCATTTTTGTCTGTTTTGATCCAAAGTTAATGTGATGAAAACTGTCATTGGGGGAGTATTCAGTATTCACTGTCATCCGATGTTATATAGTATAGACACTGAAGGCATAATTAGATAAACTGAAAATAAGAAGGATTCCACTCAATAACTACGTAGTTATTTAGTTAGATATTTTACTATTGCAGCTATTACAGACCCAGCTGAATTAAGGCAAAGACTGATAGAGGCACTTGAAAATGGAGCTGTGTTACAACAGGAGAAGGAGCGGCTAGAACAGCATGCAGCCCATTTGGCACACAGTAACGTCACCTTAAAAGCTGCGTCCGATGAGGAAGAAGGAAATCAAGCTGCACTCAAGGAACGTTTGAAGGTTCTCGAAGCAAAATTGTCTCACAGGTAGGTGGAATTATTGTATTTTAAGTTTTGCCTCTCTGTTATCTGTTAGTGTGTTAATGCTATAAGTATTTTCATGTAATTTCAGTAAATATATATTTATATATGGGAGATAGGCCCTACTTAATGGTACCTGCACCTTGTCGAGGTGGTGGGGCTTGAGTACCTCAGTGATCCCAAGAGCTATGCTGGCGGTAGCATGGCTACTGGTAGGGCCTCCCTAGCCAGATTGGTCAAGGGGGAGAGGTCAGACTAAGACAGGTACCCTGGTCCTCCAGGTTGGGGGTTGGTCGCAAGGCTAACAACCTTGCACCATAAAAAGGAAGATGTTTCAAAACCTCAATCAAAGCCTCGGACAGAATGGACCTAACAGAGGACCAAATGGAAGAGGAGAATTGAGGAGGCCATGGACCGAATACGGACCGGAGACCCATAGAAGAAGAAGATATGGGAGATAGGACATTTTCAGATTGATTAAGGAATTGGTTGTAGAAGATTCATGTTTGTATCCTTTGTAGTTTCTTTAATAAAAAATGTTGAATAAAAGAATTTTAAAAATTTAAAATAATTTCATGCATCATTTGTATGCAAAATGGTATGTACATGGTGTAATAATGCCAAAATATTGTGAATTGTGTAGTCAATAATAATTACAGTGTGTTGCACATAGAGTCCTGATTCAGAGTTTCCTGTTTTCTACAGTTAGTATTGCACATTTCTTTTAAAGTTTATTTATTATTTCTTTGAACACACAATTGTTCATTAGTAAGGACAGCTTGTCAGTCATTCCAAGATGCAGAGTATTATTTATGGCAGGAACGTTTAATTCTGTTGATTCTACTGTGTTTTGAACAGAAAATGTTTATTGTTTGAAATATAATAAATGCTAATGCTAAGATGAACTAGAAGCAGAGCTTAAACAGCTGAAAGACCGGTATGCTACTAGAGAAGTCACGCATGACAGCAATGAGGAGATATGTAATGCTGAAACCAAAAGGTAAATCTATCCAAATGTGGAAAGTGTACTAAGTTCTGGGGGATTACAGGCTAACTAACTAACTATGCTAGTAGAACCCAAAGGTCTGAAAATGGTAATACTAAAGCCTGCCATTGGACATTGTTCTGAGATAGTTCGATCCTTCTATTTTCACAGTTATGTACACATTTTCATGCTGCGTAACTGAATTTTGTTAATTTTGTTATGTAAGTTATCACCACTGTTTCATATTCAGGTAATATGTAGTTTGAATTCTGTCTGGTACATGATATACATACTGATATGTTTCCCAACACCAATTCCTTCCATGCCAATATGCCTCAAAATAGGCCACCACAGCTTGCTCTGTTATCCCTACTTTGCTACCAGTCATAATCGTCCTCACATCCTTCAATTGGTGTCGCATAACTTCAGGTACTAAATAACTGCAACAGCAAAATTTGCAGGTAATTACATTGTACAATATTCATTAACATGTGTTCTTTGTAAATTGCAATGATGTAGCATACTATGTAATTCCTAACTTACAAGAAAGTTATAAAATGTTTTCGCACAGTATAGTTGTTCGATTAACAAGTTCAGGACAGCCGTACATTATTAAGCTTTATGCTAGTTTTTGTCATGTGCTTGGCATCAGAATAATGTATCCTGACATACATCAAGATTCTATGATCTTTTAAATGTTGGCCTTCAGTGAACACCATTTGTGTTATGGAATTGTTACTTTTAGGTATTACAACCTCTGTTAGTCCCAGTATTTTTCACCTAGATTACATATGGCATGTAGCACAAGTATAACAATTATAAATTGGGGCCTGGTCATAGTGGAGGTCTGCAAATAACAAGGAGTTAACCATGATTCAAGTTATAGTGAATCTGTAGTTAATAATAATGTAGTTAATGAGTACCAAGGAATGTTATATTTTAGTAATTATGGGAGCAGTGATGGTTTAAATAGTATTAAATGTTCTTCTGGCTTCCTTTTCATGTTTCAGTCATTCAGATATGTTGATTTATTTAGAAATTTGTTTTTATTGTAAAAAAGCTCCGTTTGTTAAAAGGTTGCCGGGAGTAACAAGTGAGATGTTTGAACCAACTAGTCATTTCACAATGTTTATCATATATAGGGTTTAAACAGGTCAAAAGTATGAAATAGATATATGCTAGTAAATTTGGATTCACTATTATTTTAATATATTTTTAATAAGATTTCATAATATAATATTTTTAATAAGACTAATGTCTTTGTCTGTAGGAGGCTGGATGAATTGGAAAGTGTATTGAGGAGCCGAGATAATTTAGTCACAGAGTTACAGAGAAGTGTAGAAGCCCACAAGAAAGAAT